TATGCTACCAGAGCTGCTAGTTGGGGCTTAAGAAGGTATAATAAACAAAGGAGTTGAGTTTGCAGGCATGTAGTGCAGGGGGAGGAAGCATGGGAAAAACTACAAACAATTTGTTAACTTATAAGCATCAACATTGTCGGTAAGCTTATTTGTTGCATTCTGAGGTGGTTATATGCTGAGAGTTGTTTGAAAAAGCATTCTGTCAGGGGCTAATTTTCTGTCACATATGCAATTTCTCCCCTTATCTTAACAAATTTAGTCTCTACCTTAGTTACAAAAGACTTTTTTATTTACAGAAGGCTAGCAGAAACTATTCTGGAGTTCAGGTGGTACAGTGGTTAAGGCATTGGGCTGCTAACCAAAAGGTCGGTGGTTTAAAACCCTCAGCCACTCTGCAGAAAAAAGATGGGGACAGTCTGCTTCTATAAAGATTTATAGCCTTGGAAACCCAGTAAGTCACTCATTATGAGTTGGAATTGACTTGATGGCAGTGAGGTTTTTTTTGTTTATTTTGTTTAGTAGCAACACAATGGAAGATACTAGTGAGTGATGATTTTAATTTGGGAGACAAGATGTGAATTAAGACTTGATATAGACCTGTCTTAGCTAAGTTATTTCCATGTTCTGACTTCACTTAATATTACTTTTATGTCTTATTCTTGAGCTAAGGTGCCTTTTCTGGGGCTAACTGCACAAACATTCTTAACAGGCACCAAGTAATTCTTTATCCAGGTTAGAAATCCTAACTTTTGCCGCCTTTGTTTTTCAAGCAGTAAAACCGACAAAAAGGACTGACTAGAAATCAAAATCTTAGTTTAATTTAAAAGAGAGTTTTTAAGTTAGGTCTGAAGTCACCCAATTCAGATATGCTAGTACCTCATTTTTTTTTTTTTATTTTCTTCCCTGAGCTTCACTACAATAATTGATTACATTATGGACGGTGATAACATTACTTTGCATTTGTCATGGAGCAAAATGGCAGAGTGTGGTTGAAATTAAAAGTAAAGAGCTTTCAGTAAGAGCTGTGGCAATTTATAAATCAGGAATCAGAAAGTCCAGAGGATTGTGAACTAAGTGATCGAAGGAGGAGACAGTTTGAAGAGTTGATATAAGGAAATTCAGTAAAAATTCAGGGATTGGTTAACCTTTATGCTTTAGGCACTACACCACTAGAGCTCCCTACCTTTAGGTAATAGTTACAAAATTGGGTGAGGTGCATCTGATTGGTAGGAGATTATATATGTTTCTAAAGTTGTTTATTAAAGTTACAAAGTAATCATTAAATTGAGCACATCTGGCCTCAAAATAATCATGAGACCCTCCTTTGTGTGACTGCAGGGAGGATGTGCATAATTCTAAGGTTTATTTTAAGTATGCATCTGTTCTGAGAATTCTTTTGGACCTGGCTTCAAGCAAAGCAAAGCAAAACCTGTAAGCAAACAAAATTACACTGTTTTCTGAAAATGTTTATCAAGTAATTTTCTCAGGGCCCAGTGCAGAGTTACAGGAGTGACAGGTTGTGTTCCTGATGCAGGGGCCATTTTTCATTCAAAATGGAGTTTTAGCCTCAAATCTTAGCATAGCCACCATCTCATGTTGGGAGTCCTAAGTTAATTTGGGTGCTCTTACATTACATTATGGAGCAACAACTAGTCTAGTGTGGGAAAGCCACTGGGAATCATAACCTAGCATAAAACCATAGTTGACACTTAGAATTAACCAGCACAACATGTTTCTCTCCAGGCATTGGAATCAAAACTTGCATCTTGCCGGAACTTCGTGTATGATCAGTCTCCAAACAGAACAAGTGGGCCAGCCTCAGGGCAGGGGAGCAAAAACAGAGATGGTGGCGACAGACGGGCCAGCAGCACCAGCGTGCCTTTGAGTGATAAAGGGTTAGTACCTTTTGATGTATCTCTGCTCAATAGTGGAGGCTTGGCCATTCCAGGAGGGAGACTGTAACCCCCAACCCATAGCCATTTTTAAAAAGTTGTAGTGTTATGTCAGCCTACCTTACTGTCTGTTTTCTCCCTCAAGACAGAATTGAGTGATGCCTTCTGATTGGACAAACAAGGAGAGAGTCGCTTTTATTTTTGATTCTGTAGCCCCAACTTACAGTCCTGCTGTGACTTACAAGTCTTATAGAAATCACTTGTTCTGGAGTTGAGCTGCAAGCACCGCCTTGCTTCTCCCAGAGCAGGCGTGTTTTTTTTAAACTTTTGAGAACCTTCAGGAAATTGGCATTAAACTCTATCCATTCACCCTATTGGAAACTGCAAATCTGGCCACTAGTAGCATCATTTATTTTCATGCATAAAGAAAATCAAGGCAGCTTCCAGATTTAGCACTTTTGTAAAATATGTTCACCATCTCCCCAGGCCACATAACCAGGGACAGGAAATTCAGAACCGTTTTCCCTGATGTACACATGACTTCTAGACGTTTTAGAAGTGGGCTTGTTAGAGGCGCTTCTGGGCCTGGACTTTTGTGCAGCCTGGGGAATGAGAGATGGATAGCAGTGTGTGGTTTTCTTGATTTCACAGGAGAGAAAATTCAGTCATGGTGGGACACTGCCCTCATCTCTTTTGATATTTATTCTTCTAATTTGTGTGCCCTGATAGTAGCCAGTTTGTACCAGCTGTCATTATCAGCTTAATTTGGTTTGCTCTGTCTGAAGGTTGGGAAAACGCCTGGAATTTGGGAAGCCGGCTTCAAATATTTCCTCACCATCGCTGCCGTCAGCCCAGGGTGTAGTCAAGATGTTGCTTTAGGAAAACCACGGAACCTGAAGCCCTGGTGTTTGTTCAGAAGTTGTTACCTTTCTTCCACTCTTTAAACTAGTTTTGTTTTTTATTTTAAGTTAGAGAAAAAAAAATAGCCAGTAGTCACTATAGGTAGCTTTGTGGCCCAAACACATGACTTGAGGTTGTCACTGGTGGCCCCTGGTATTTGTGCCCATGAAAGGCTGTCTGATGACCCCTAAGCTCCACTTTTGTTGTGTGTTGCACAGAGACAGGGACAGACTGGAAGAGCTCTGGGAAGTGAGTGATGAGACCAGGGTCCGCACTAACCCGTGAATCCTGAGTGGTCATGACAAGTACTTCTCATGTCTGGAGACTCCATAAATCTAGGCATCTCTGAGCCCATCCCAGAGGCTCACGCTTGCTTTTTTAAGCACTCACCTCCAATCTCCACTCAAGTAGAATTTTCCAAAACAAAATCTCCAGTGCTTTGTGAAAGCGCAGTAAGGACTGACTGCTGAACTTAAATCATAGCTAAGACTGAAGAGTAAACTAGGTCCATGCCTTTTAAAACAGTGGTAGTGCACATCTGAGACATTTTAACCTGCCTCTCATTGAGGCTTTTAGAGATGAGATTGAGTGTTAGATTAAATGTCCTGTTGACCTAGGGTCAGGGAAAATCTGTGTCCTCTTTAGTTAAGTCCCGACTGGTAGCTGTCCTACACACCCCCGCGTAGGGGTGACCTCAGCTTCCAGACCCTGAAATTCATGAGGCAGAGTGGCCTTGGTAATGCAGCCCCTGAGAACAGGACTTCATTCATGATAAGTTAATCAGGTGACCTTCAAATAAAGTGGAAACACAAGGATTGTTGTTGGAAGCTTCCTTTTTATACAAGGAAGCATACACGGGTGTGTATCTATTCCAAACACTGCTTGTTATAACTATAACTGCTGCTTTCAGACTGAAGTTTTAAAAAAAAGCCCACTAGTTTCAGGAGCATGCTTGTCACTTAGTTACCTTCCTTTGGTTACTAAGTTATTTTCTGAAAGAACAGCAAAAATGCCTGTTTAATGCTTTTAAGTAGCACTTAATGCTACTGAAGGCCAGCAGAAGAATTAAACTGCAATGCCAGGTTTGTTACCCTAAGAAACCTCCTTAACCTGTATCAGTAATAGATGTCCTTTTATTTTTTTAAAAGAACAATAAAATCAAGAGAAATGACTGTTTAATTAGTTGTTGGTGGTGTTCAATCAGTACTGCTTCATGTGTTTGTATTTATGTTTGCACACATAGTGATAGGAAACAGTTTTACCTTCTGTTTTCAACCAAGTAACTAACTATGAAGAAAAGTTAATGTTTTTTAAAAATTTCCATTCAAGTCAGCTTTTTAGGAATGTGTTTGGGATATGTTTGTGTATTGGTAACGGCACAGTAACATTTGGTCATTCAGTTGAGCCTTTTTAAATTTCCATGTTTCTCTTTTCTCCAACCTTTCTTATCCCACTGGGTTGTTATATGGAGTAGTCTGTGTTGAACAGAACTGTGGTGAGCAGATCTCCACTGAGACACTCGGACTGAAGAAGGAAAGGGCCCACAGGCCCTCAAGCAAAGAATGAACGGTTTTTACATTTCCAAAGAGTTGTTAAAAAACAAAGAGTATGTGATAGAAATCACAAAATAACTATCCAGCAAAACTTAAAATACCATCCTGCTTTTACCGATAGTTTGCTGACCTCTGCTGGGTGAAAGGCGGCAGTACTAAAAATCTTAAATGTTTTAACAATTAAAATTAAAAATTAACTTAAAAATTCAAACACATTTTGTATTCCTCATATTATGTACATTTGAGTTTCAACTGATAAAGCTGTTCTTCTGGGTCAGTGGATGGTCCAGGAGGCAGTGCTATGCTGACCCCATCAGCACATCATCCTGTTCCTCTCACCTAGAGCCACCCTCATCCTGGCTGGAGACAGCCCTCAGACACCTCCCTTTGCTTCTCTCTCTGCTTGAGGGAAGAGTTTGAGAGCTTCTGTGAGAAGAAATCTTGGCCAGCTTAATCCACCTCCCTCGGCCTCAGTTTCCCCACTGATGGAATAAGAACCCTCACGTCATAGGAGTAAACGAGAACCCCACACACACTCTCTTCTTTCACTCTACAGAAGACTATGGAACAGAAAAGCCCACTACATTCTAGTGATTTATAACCTTTTATTAGTGAGGGTGTCCTTAAGTACAATCAGGGTGCATATACAACAGTGTAACATTCCTGCTCTTAGCCATCTGAGCAGAGTGTCTCTTCAATTCATGTGACTAAAGAAGGCACTTGGTCTTGGTGAACTGTGTGCGTCAGAGGTGTGGTAACCAGGAGGGATAAAAAGAAGTCTCAAATAAGGGTCAACTCAAGGACTCAAAGGGTACACAGGATAGGGAATGACTTGGGAGTGAGGGACATTGGCACCAATTTTGGTGACTTTTTCCCCATTCCATGTAAACTGAGTTGCCAGTGACTGTTTACTGTGGATATATTATTCTAAACTCAGGATCTCTGTACAAATTCATTGCTAGAGTGAGAGAGGGTATGTTTCTGTTTCCTATTGGGTTCTTCTCATCTGGGACATCATAAAACTTAAATTTATCTCCCAAGTACAGGGTGCTGTTTTTATATTTCTTGTGATGGGGTGTCTGTGGTGTTTGGAATTTGGAAACGGATTTTGATAGTGCTAAGTATTGTCCACCAGGTTTTGTCGTCTCTGTTCTTTCCTGCTGAGGTGCAAAACTAGTTGGTTGCTTATTCACTGCCTTTGGTTCCATTGAAATCAGCGTCACGAGCGTCCATTTCCTCCTCAGAACCATTAGCGTTTTCAATAACTCTACGTCCTCCAGACCTTCTAGGTGGAACAAAAGAGGTCTCGTTTCCTCGCCTGTGGGTTTTAAGAAAACATGTTTCCTTAGTCAAAATTGGAATAGGTTTTTTTTTTTTTTTTTAATGAGCAAAAATGAAGTGCAAATTCAAAACAAATCATATGAAAATATTCAGGTTGAAATCAACAAATTCTGACCTGTCAAGGTATTTAAATCAGCTGAAATGGGAAGAAAGTAAGTTTTTCAAAGCAAAATTATCTGCTTTTTAAAAAATGTTTGGCTCAACCATTTGGTGACCCACAGAACCCTGATCTGTGGTATTTTAAAAAGAAAAAAAGGAGATGGTGATTTATTCTTCCCCTTGGTTTTCATTCATCCCCTGTGGGGTGAGAGCCTGTAGTGAAAGCTGGCCCAGAAGTGGGACAGAGGGTGCTCCTTGGCTGAAGAGCAAGGCAGAACCCCTGCGGGAGTGCAGCTTCTTGGACTGAGCTTCCCCAGGACGGCACTACACCTGTTTTGGGGTCACTATGAGTCAGAATCGACTCAATGGCAGTGGGTTTGTTTTGTTTAGTGGTAGGCACTGTGTATGGCTAGGTGCTCAGTGAATATTTGTTAGAAAATAAGTAACACGTAGTACTTCATGGTGTATTTTAGCTCTAACTGGTAGGACACCCCTTTCTCTGTCTTTACCTTTCCCTTCTCCCTCTCTTCTCTGGTGCTGCTGGGTGCCCTCTCTGAGTTACCACCCAGGCCCTACCTGCTTTCATGAAGGCCTGGTCATGTGAAGTGAGTTTTTGGGTGTGGGGTGAAGGAATGAGGTGAGGAAAATCCAGATCTGCCTACAGTTAACCTTTGCTGTTAGGAAGAAATGTTAGCAGTATCTTCAGGATTACAACAAATAATCACTGTTGGGCCCTGTTTGACCTGAATTGGAGCATAGGCCATAACTCATTTGAGGATGTCCCAGAAGAAAGCAAAAACTTTCTGTGATGTAAATGACCTACTCATCACCCAAAGGCTGGATGAAGCCATTGAGGGTAAGTCCACCCCAGTTACCAATTCTTTAGTCAAAAGAAACATTCAGACAGGTAAGACCAGAGGCGTAAGCAAGGCCCAGAGATTCATGATCGCTGAGAAGGGGAGTCCCAGCATGAGCCTTTTGGGGGCAGGAGAGGATGAGGCACTAAAGGTCACCCACACTCAAAGGGTGGTGCGTTCCAGAGTGCAGCGATCAGGAATAAATACTTAAAGTTGTAGCCACCCCAACAAGAGATTCTTAGGCCAGTTCCACTCACTCTGGAGGGAAGCTTCTAGGCTCCAGCTCCTTAAGAACTAACTTTCCACTGCTCTCTCTCTACAAGTGACCTTTAAAAACCTTTTATTTGTTTAGCACTATGTTTTGCAAGAACTTAGATCTGACGGAAGAGTCCCAAAGTGAGAGATGGACAGCTCCTTCCACCCCAACCCTCTGGCTTGAAAAACAGTGAGAAGCAAAGAGGGGAAAGAGGCCTTCTCAACAGGGTTCCATAGGACTAGGAAATAGTACCTCACCTTAGCTGCAGGGCTATAGGGACTCTCGTTTTGTCTCTTGGGAAAGTCAGTATTTGCCAACTAGAAGGCAGTTCAATTGATAAGTTTGCTCCCTTGATCAAAGAAGTAAATTGTACCCTGGGTTATTCTAAGCCCTGCTTGGACACCATTCCCACAAGGCTCAGGTATCTTTCTTGGTGGAACTAGGTTTAAATCCTGGGCAAGGGCTGACTCTGGCTGTATTTGCTACAGAAAGTAAGGGATCCTTCTAAAGGTTTTCTTACATGGTCTCATCCTGGATAATCTGGATGCTATTCATGGACTCAGCTTCTCCAGGTTGCTGTTGGCACACTAGGTCTAAGTGCAAGAGGGTACTTTGCAAGGACTTGGTTTTTGTCCAGCTTTTGAGTCCTTCACTCTAGCCTACCCTCGATTTCAGCTTATTCCTTTGATTCCAGTTAGGGGGTAGGAGTGCTGCTCAAAAGCTGTGTCCTACAGATGTGTCTGTTCCCCTGTGAAACTGACACTAAAGCTCTTGCCAAGACCTCATCCAGCTTTAAGTATTTTGATAGACAGCAAAGCAGAGTCTCCAAAAGAGAAGCTAGACACAGCTGTGGCTTGTTTGGCCTCTCAGGTGGTGGGAAGAGGGAAACCAGGCCCAATTTGGCTAACTCATATTGGAAAAATTATTAAAATCGAGACGGAGAGACCTCTTCACTCTCTTTGTGAAGGGCCCCATGGGCTTCCTCAAGTCTTGGGCGTCCATTCCCATCCTTGAACATGCCTCCAGACAGTGCTCTGCAAAGTGCTTTGTTCTGCAGTGCCTGGCTTCCTCCACCCCCTTTCCCTGATGATGCAGTAAGCAGCTATATCTTGCTCAAGCCTTGTGCAATTCCGGCATTTGTGAGACATCACAGTGAGTGTTCATTTCCTTTGCAGGCAAGTTTGTGAAAGCTAGATTGGGAGGACGAGTTGCTGGGCTGTGGTTATCATTTGTGAACCAGAGCAGCCAGATCAAAATCAAGTACATTCTCTAGACATAACCCCAGTAGTGGAATTGTCATACCCACTCAGTGGGGTGTCTTAATTTTACAAGGGAGGAGAGCCAAGTGTCCTAACAGTGTGAAAGAGTCTGTCACCATGCAGGTAAGAAAAACTCAAATAACATACAGCCTCTAGAATCTCATCAGTACATAGTGATGAAGGTCCCATTGTTCAGTGCTGTGTCATAGGCCAAAGCACTGCCCAGAGAGGGGAAGGAAAACAGGTCAAGAGTTGAGGTCTTACAGTCATGTTTATCTTAGTTTTGATTCAAGACAATTTTGAACTAAGATATCCAGGCCTTCAGATTTTTCAGGATCTCATGGGAATTTGCAAGGGCCAAAAAACGGAGGGTGGGGGCGCGATGGGCAGAAAGAAAATGGAAACTGAGTGCAACACACAGGAGCTGCAAAGCTGAAGGCATGATACCTGGTGAGTCATTGTGGAGTTTCCTGGGGGAGGGGGCCTCTGAAACAGAGAGAGAGAGTCCCTGCTAGTTACCAGCAGCAAAATGAAGGTGCCTGCTTAAGTACATTTTTAATAATAATTTTTAAAATAATAATAAGGCATTTGCTTCAATTAAATAAGTAAAGGCATCTTAAGTCAACCTTGCAGCTAGGCTCCTGAAACCAAAAGGTCTTAAAGATACTGGCACACAAAAAGACAGTGCAGTTTGGTTTTTTTGTTTTGTTTTTTTTTAAAACAGTATGTACTTCAGAAGTCCTTTAAAGAAGGCAGGTTGCTTCCCATCATGCATACCTGTTCAGGAAAGGAAAGGCATTCGGGTACCCTAGTCCAAGAGATCAGTGTTGGAGCAGAAGCTGAAAAGTCCCAGGCCAGACCCCTGGAGTGGCATCTTACTTTATTACTACTTCATTAGTCTTCATTAATTACCTTTTACATCTCTAGCAAGAAGGTAGAAGTGGATACCTTTTGAGTGCATGTTGGAGATGACTGGCCCCAGGATAAATGATAATGTATATTGGTTAAATCAAAACCAAACCAAAACCACTGCTATCAAGGCAATTCATAGTGCCTTATAGGACAGGGTAGAACTGCCTCATAGGTTTTCAAGGCTGTAAATCTTTACAGAAGCAGACCACCTCATCTTTGTCCTGTGGAAGAGCTGGTGGATTTGAACCACCAAGCTTTTGGTTACAAGCCAATGCTTTAACCACTACACCACCAGAGGTGCCTCAAGAAAGTCCTATATTGAGATTTAGGAGTCCATGGGTGGCACAAATAGTTAAGTGCTCAACTGTTAACCAAAAGGTTGGCAGAAGACCACAGCCTTGAAAACACCATGGGGAACAGTTCTATTCTGCAGCACGTGGTCATCAGGAGTTGGAATTGATTTGAGAGCAACTGGTTTGGTTTTTGGTTTCAGTGTTGAGATAAAATAGTGTAAAATTTGCCTTGCAATGGTTTTGTTCACTGGAGCTGGCTGAGCTTGCCAACCTCACTCAAAGCCCTAGTTGCTTGATTTTCTGTACCTGAAACTTGGACAAAGCTAAAGAGGTATGACATATCTTCATCCTGCATTAATTGTAAGTTCATATCAGGACTGGCAGGAATGGTTTGTTGTTCAGTATTGGCTTGAATTGCCTAGAAAAGGGATCATTTGTTTGGGTTGAACCCCAAAGAGGATGTTTAGTATATGCTAATGGCATCAGTGGGCCCAAGCACAGGGGCTGCGAGGGTTCTGGGGTTGTCTCCCCACCACTCAGCCCAGGCACTAGCAGGTTGGAGGGTGGAGAGTCTTCGTGGTGTGAGAACAGCTCTTCTCTGACGACTCTCAACCCTGGGAGCTGCTCCTGGGTCCTTGCTGTATGCTGAGCATTAGGTCTGGTTTCCAATCCATTATAGTGGAGCCCACAAGCCCTCATCTCCTGGGGGCTTCTCCCTGCCCTGGTGCCCTGAACCAGCCACTCCCTTCCCCCCATCCCCATCCAGAGGTTGGGTTTTCCCTTTGGCATGCCAAGGTTTCAAAGTGTGTGGAGTCGGTTACACCAGGTGATGTTAGATGATTCCGGGATACACCACTGAATTGCACAGTGAGAAACAGAATCCCTTTTCAACTCTCTTTAAAGATACCTGTATCAGAAAGAGTGTACTTGGTGCTAATGTTGGTCTTCACCTTTTATAACTGAGATGTAGACCTGGGGGTCAGAGTCATCAAACCAGAAAAAAACAAACTCACTGCCATCAAGTCAGACCCGACTCATAGCGACCCCTCCTTGGGTTTCCGAGGCAGTATAACTATGGAAGTAGATGTCCAACCTTCTTTCTGAGGAGTGGCTGGTGGGTTTGAACCACCCACCTTCTGGTTAGCAGTCAAGTGCCTTAGGCACTGTACCACCAGAACTCCCCAGAGTCATAAGGAGGCCACATAACTAGAACTCTGTTGTGCTGTTTTCATTGAGACCTATTTAATGCAAGTGGTGCTGGTAAACAAGCTAGGGTGTAAGTTAATCATATCTATATGTAAATTAAGTTAATTTCAGAGAAAATATAATTAAAAATATAGTAGAAGTAGTAAAAGGAGCTCTGGTAGCACGGTGCCTAAAGCATTTGACTCTTAACCAGAAGGTTGGTGGTTCAAACCACCAGCCACTCCATGGAAGCAAGATTAGACAGTCTACTTCCATAAAGATTTACTGCCTCAGAAACCCAGTGTGAGTCACTATGAGTTGGAATCGACTCGACGGCAGTGGCTTTGTTGTTTTGTTTTGGTAGAGAAAGAGGCTAGGGCAAAATGAAGGAGGTGGTATGAGAATGGAGCGTCATCCATAACTCGTCAAAGGCTTACTGTGCCCTGTGCTAGACTCTGAGGATGAAGACAGAACCTCTGTGCTCCTGGAGCCTACAGACCTAGAGGGCAGACAGGGCATAAACGAGACAAGTAAAATAAATAGCATGTTACATAGTGTGTCAGGTGGGGGCAGAGAAGGGGAGGATCTGTATGGAGTTAGCTTGGGATTTTAGACAGGGTACCTTTTGAGTAAAGACTAGAAGGGAGGGAGGGAGCTAGCTCTGCAGATGTCTAAAGGGGAGTTTATTCCAGACAGGGAACAGCTGATACAGAGGCCTCTAAGGCTGTGTGAAAGGTCAGACAGGTGATTCAGGGGCAGTGGACACAGATCATGTCGGGCCTGTTGTTGTTGTTATGTGCTGTCGAGTCGGCCCCGACTCATAGCGACCCCTCCTTGGGTTTCTAAGGCAGTATCACTACGGAAGTAGATTGTGAGACTAATCACTCACTGTAAGGACTTTGCTTTGGCTCTGAGTGAGGCAGAAGGTCCCAAGTAAAGGAGGGATGTGATCTGACCAGGATCCCTCTGGCTGCTGTGTTGAAAACAGACTACGGGCAGTTTGGGAGCAGGAGATGGAGTTGGAGCCTGTGAAAGTAACTAGATGAGAGGTGATGGGTGGCGGGTACCAGGGTAGCAAGCAGTGGTTGGATGCTGGATGTACTGGGTGATTAAGGTAAACCTGACCAGATTTTCTGACAGACTGGATGTGGGGAGAAAAAGAAGGTCCACAGCATTTTGGTCTGAGTTACCAGCAGCTTTCATCCCAGTTGCTGAGTTGGGGAGGATGATGAGAGAAGCTGGCTTGGGGGTGAAGGGGTTGCATCCAAGCTCAGGGTGGGGCATATTAAATGGGAGATGCCTATTAGACACCCTAGTGGGAATGCCAAAAAGGTCTGGGGTCTGGGGTTCAGAAGTTTGGGTCAGATATGTTGTTGTTATGTGCCCGTCTAGTCAGATCTGATTCATAGCAAATCCCCCCCCACCCAGGTTGCTGAGGCAGTATCACTACAGAAGTAGATTGTCCAATCTTCCTTCCGAGGAGTGGCTGTTGGGTTTGAACCGCCAGCCTTCTGGTTAGCAGTCAAATGCCTTAGGCACTACGCTACCAGAGCTCCCTGGGTCAGATGTAGAGCTTTGGAATTCATCAGCTCTAGATGCTATGTTAAAGCCAGGTTGTTACATAAACCTTGCCCAGTCTTATGCCATGCTCAGGTACTCACTGCTGTGTTTGAGCTCACTGTTGCAGCCATTGGGACAGTCCATCTCACTGAGGGTCTCCCTGGTTTTTAGCTGATCCGTGAGACGGCTTGAAATCACAAGGAAGTGAGTAGAGAGAGGGATGGAAAGAAGGCTAAGATGGCACTGTGGCTGTCGACTGCCAAGGGGGTTTGTGATGAGAAACCAGCAAAGGAGATGCAGAAAGACAGCCAGGAAGATAGCAGGGAAACCAGGTGCGGGTGGTGTCCGAGAGCCCGGTGAAGAAAGTGTATTGAGGGCTGCCACTGAGTCAGAGAGGAGCTAAGCCCGGGCTTTCACTTTGCTGAGGCCACTGGGGACTGCTCCTTTACTGGAGTACGTTTGAGAGAGCAGGGTGAAAACTAGAGGCAGCAACTGTTTTCTTATGGTTTTGCTGAGACAGGATATCAGGGAAGCAAGGCTGAGAGGTTTTTTAAGTTGGAGTGACTCAATGAGAGGGAAAACATGGTTGCAAAAGAAAAAAGCATTTCTGGAGTAAACTAGTGGTGGGTCTAAAGAGGTGCTGGCCTCAGTTGGTTCTGGAGAGTTCAGCCATAGAAATGGGAAAAACAGAACATCTCGTGGCGAGATGGGTAGAGGGAGCTTGTGTATGTTTCTGTTTTCCCGTTAAAGTATGGGAAGTATGGTCATCAGCTAGAGGACAATGAGGAAGAGAACAGTAAAAAGCAGATCTCTAGGAGCGCAGGAAGAAGCCCTGGTGGCACAGTAGTTAAAGCGTTTGGCTAACAGGTCGACAGTTTGAACCCCCAGCTGCTCCACAGGAGAAAGATGTGGCAGCCTGCTTCCATAAAGATTACAGCCTTGGAAACATGGGGCAGTGCTGCTGTGTCCTGTAAGGTCACTGAGTAGGAGTGGACTGGATGCCACAGAACAACAGAAGGGGAGAGTGTGAGGATGGGGGAGGCATGGCCTGGGGGCCACATGATGTTAGTGGTCAAAAGGATCAGAGAGAGAAGTGTCAACATGGTTGTCTGTTTTTCTTTCTTGTGTGTCAGCTGCCAGTGCAGAGAAGGTGGAAAGTTTTGGGACGAGGAACCTGATGAAAGATTAATTAGGGTTGTGGTTTAACCAAGGGGCCAGAGAGTCAAGGTTGAGTGAAAGGTCTTGTTAGAATGACTCACCATGGGCTTGAATCTGGTAAAAACATGAGGGCATGAGAGGTAGTGGGGCAAAGACCTGATGGAGCTCAACTATTAGGGAGGGTTGCACAGGTTATATGCTCAAGTGTTAAAATTACGGAGGGCTTAGAGTTACTGGTGGGAGCTCTGGTGGACGTAGTGCCTAAGGCATTTGACTGCTGACCAGAAGGCTGGCAATTCAAACCCACCAGCCACTCCTCAGAAGGAAGGTGCGGCAATCTACTTTTCATAGACATACCACCTCAGAAACCCAAGGAGGGGTCGCTGAGTCAAAATTGACTGGAAGGCAGTGAGTTTGGTTTTTGGTTTTTTTAGAGTTACTGGTAAAGCTCTCAGAGTAGTAAGGCCACGGAGGAGAAAGAGCGAGGGACAAAGAGGCTGGGGCTGGGCTGACACACCAAGAAGAGTGTGGGAACTGGTACATGAGTGACAGGAAGCCAGGAGCTAAAACCTGCTGGGACAAGGTGGGGAGGAGGTTTGCTGGGTAGAAACAGCACTGAGGAGCCTACGTGCCTTCAGGCCCAGAGGTCTGAGGGGTGGGGGAGAGATAACAGCCCTGTGTCTGCATCAGCTGTGGATGACTGATGCCCCCAGGGGACATTTTTGTTGTTGCAAAGGGTAGCTAGCAGGGATAATGGTGAGTAGTGACCAGGTATGCTGCTAAACATCATACAGTACACAGGACATCTCCCACAACAGAGAACTACTGGGCCCCAAAATGTCAGGAATGCTGAGGCTGAGAACCCCAAATTAGAGCAAGAAGGTTCAGGAATTAGAGGATTTTGCAGTTGTCAAGGATTTGATGAAACAGTTTCAGGATCAGGGATGTTGCATCTCTCCTCCTTCCCAGGAGGATGGGATGGAAAACTGATTTTAAAGACCATAGAAGGTAAGCTCCTTCAAGGCAGATTTGGGCCCTGTTTCAGGGCCTGGCACACACTAGTGCTTGCCAAGTAATAATGAGCAGAGGAGGCCATGGAAAGAAGCAAGGGGGCCATTTGCATTGACACCTTGGCTCACAGTGGGCATTTCTCGCCAACTTGAGAACCAGCCGCCAGTCGCCTCCTACCCTAGAGAAGCAACACCGGCTAGGGGGCCTGGGCCAGGCCGCCGCTTTACCTGAGCTTGCTTTTGAGTGCGTTCACCTCCCGGCCCATGGCCTCATTGCTCTCCGTGGCCTCATCCAGCTCCCGCTGCAGCTTCCTGCGGTTGGCGTTGATGCGCTGGGACTCCTCCTCTGCCTCCTCCAGCTGCCTCTTAAGTTGCTTGACCCTCGTGTTTCCTTTCTCTGCCTGTCAAGGAGATAGCATGGGGTCAGCAGGAACTGGGGGCCCAAGAGTGCTGGGAAGGCCTGAGCGGGCAGGGTTACCTGCTCCTTGTACTGCTCCGCCATCTTGCGCTCATCCTCCACCTGCAGCAGGGCCTCCTTCAGCTTCTTGTCCTTCTGCTTCAGAGACTTGGCAACTGCCTGTTTCTCTCTGTACACGTGTGGAGACAGGGAGACTGTTTGCGATGGGAATGCTCACTGCAGGTGGTGTGTAAACCTGATATGGCAGCTTGCCTACCATGAGCACATTTTCTGAGCCCCAAATAAGGACATCTCCCAAGATGGCCATAGAAAGGAATGAATTACCACTTCATGCTACAACATGGATGCACCTCAAAAACATGCTGAGTGAAAGAAGCCAGCCAAAAAAAAGGCCATATATGGTAGGATTTCATCTATGTGAAATGTCTACAACAGGCAAATCAAATCCATACAGACAGAAAGTGGATTATTGCTTGCTCGGGGCTGAGGGGGATGGGAGCATTGGAGGATGGGAGCTAGAGGATACGGAGTTTCTCTTAAGGGTGATGAAAAATGTTCTAGAATCAACTGTGGTGATGGTTACACATATATGTGAATACACTAAAATCCACTGAATCGTACACCTTGAATGGGCATGACTTTAGGCCTCAGTCAACTCATAATTGAGCTGAGAAGCCTTCCCATCTTTGTGTGCTGAGTGGATTCAAGACTTGGGCTTTTTGTACATCTGCTAACATGATGTCCCTGCAAGCACAGGCAGAAAAGGCATAGGTAAGCTTTGGAGAGCTAGCTTGTGCCAGCGGGGACGCTCCTGCCACTGAGTGATAAGTGCTCTCTCTAGGCCAGGCACAGCCCTTTGCTGTGTGCCTGTTCAATTTTCACATCATTCCTGCGATGTGGGGGCTGCTGTGCTTGTTTTCCACAAAGCAGGACTGATGCCCGAGGCCTCCTTTACATCCTACTGCCAGTGACTGGCAAGCTGGGATTGGGACCCTGGCCCCATGTACCTGGCCTCCTGCTCAACTTGCTCCTCCAGTTGTGCAATCTTGGCCTCCAGTGCCGCGATGGTAGACTTGAACTTAGACTTGACTGCCCCCTCCATCTCCTGGAGCTTGCTCCGGAGCTCCTTGTTCTGCCGCTCAAGCTGCTGCCGTGCGCTTTCATTCTTTTGGGCTGTGCTGCGCTCTGTAGCCAACTCATTATTAAGCTGCTCAGCCTGGGGACAAAGGAAAAGGCCATGCAGTGGGTGCATGGACGCCGAGGCAATACCACTGAGATGACTGAGAGGACAAGCCTGCTCCTGCTGTCTTCAGCCTCCATCACCTCTTCACAAGCCCCGAGTCTGAATGCCTCCACCGTCCCTTTTCTCCTCCAGCCAACTCCAGCTCAGAAGGCTCTTCTGGGAGCTCAGTGGTGCCCCACCAGGCTGGTGAGCAACTCCTTCATCTCCCTTCTCCCCCATCATCTGGTCCTTGTCTGTTCTCCACCCTGAATTGGATAGGTCATGTGATAGCTCTCCAGTACCCGTACAGAATGGCACTCAGTGAGTGTCTTCTGGAGTGTCACTGGGTACCCTCTATCAGAAGTCCCTGGCATAAAGGAGAGAGCCAGGGTCCTTCTCCAGCACATAGAATCTAGTGGCAGGAGCCAGATGTACCCCAGTGACAATATGAGATACTTCAATCAGGTGCCAGGGTTCTAAGACAGTGGGCAGAGCAAGTGCAGGGGACACCTGTGGGGCAGGGGAGAGTGAGCCCTGCACCCTGCCCTCATGTCCCTCTGCTCACCTCTTCTGGATCTCCAGGGGACCTGTGGTGCATGCCACTGACCTGCTGGAATCCTGAACCTGACCCTGCAGTGGGGCCAGTCCATGCCTTACCTGCTGTGTGGCTTTCCGGAAGCGGTCACTCATGGCCTCCAAGTTGCCTTGCTCCTCCTCCAACTCCTCCTCCAGCTGGGCAATCCGGGCCTCCAGGCGGCGCTTCTCATCCTGAAGTGTATTCCTAAGGGAGATGCACCCGCGACTAGGGCTCCAGCCTCACCCTGGCTTAGAAAATGCCCACTCTCTGTAGAAGCACTGCCTCAGGAGTGCCCTCACTTAACAGGTGAGGAAACAGGTGCAGAGAAAAGTAGGAATCTTGTCGAAAGTCACTTAGCTCAGATGTGGGGAGCGAGACTCTCATCAGGTTTATGTCCGGCTGAAGCCTGGGCTGGGATGAGGAGCAGTGCTCTCCTGATGCTTCCCAGCCTCCTTGTCCCCAACATGCAGCTCACCCAACATGAACAGAACTGAGTGCACGCCCAGAGGTGTGAAACATGGAGGAGCACTCACCCTTGGGGACAAGCTCAGCTGAGCAAGCCACTGTTTCTAGCTTTAAAATGGAGGTCCACGGGGCTGCCCCCTCACCCTCCTAGTCTAAAACATCCTCCTTTCTCCCCGAACAGGGTAGGGGGTCTCTGTACCTTCCAGATACGCTGCTGGCCAGCTCCTCTGCCAGCTCCTCTTTCTCCAGGTCTGCCTGTTTGCGAGCCCGCTCAGCCGCGGCGAGTTCCTGGAGGGCCAGGAAAGAAACCCTGCTGTCTGCTGAGGGGCAAGGGAGCCAAGCCCTAGCCAAGAGTCTGGCCTGGTCCTGTCACTAGGCCCCCCAAAGTCTGCAGCCACCCTAGAAAATGGCTCACCTCATCTGAGCTCACAAATACATCAAGAGAAAAGGATGGATCTTTGAACACTATATACACCCATTTGGAAGGTTGGATGAGGCAAAGGAATCTTAAGCACACAAACCTGGACACAAGGGCAGCTACCATGACGCACTACTGAAGCTGTCCTGTCCAGAAGGCCTTACCTCTTGGAGCTGCATGAGGTCGGCTTCTAAACTTTTGGCTTTCTTCTCATTCTCTTTGGCTGTGGCAAAGATCTCTTCTCTGGATGCACGGGCATCTTCCAGCTCTCTCTGGAAGTCCTTCATCTGTGCCTGTGAGAGTTGACGGGAAGGACAAGCTAGGACATCCTTACTCACCCACCTTACCTTTCCAGGCCAACCCCTGGGGTTTTCTGCAGTTAGCCCCAGAGGAATTACAGGGACGTTGCATTGAACATCAGGAGGCTGTTTGGGGCACCTTTCTGGATGTGTCCATCAGCCTGTTCAAGAAGCTGTGCCTCCAATGGGCTCTGAGAACAGTGGCCAAAAGCCCAATAATAGCACCCTAGCCAGGGTGAGCCCTTGGGTGGTACAAATGATCAACTCGTTCAGCTGTTAACCAAGGTTTGAGGGGCCTCAGAAGAAAGGCCTGGCAGTCTATTTTGAAAAGTCAGCCATTGAAAACCACATGGAGCACGGTTCTACTCTGATACACATAGGATCACCATGAGTGGGAATCAACTCAGTGGCAGCTGGCTTCCCCAGGGCAGGAGACACCTCCTGAAAGCTAAGCAATCATGGAGAAACACTAGCTGAACTGGCACCAAAGTCAGAGACAGACTTGCTTCCTCCCCTTGCTACTCGCTTACCTGACCCAGACGGAGCTACCACTTCTTTGGACCCTGCATCCTGAACTCAGGGCTTCACCCACCTGCAGTTTTCGAAGCTGCTTGATCGCTTCCTCTCTTCCCTTGATGGCCGAGTCAGCCTGCAGCTCCAGGTCTTTCAGGTCCCCTTCCAGCTTCTTCTTGGCCGCAGCTGCAAGTGCCCGTTGCTTTCGCTCGTCTTCCAGCTCTGTCTCATACTCGTGGAGCTAAGTGAGGAAGAGAGAGCTGTATGCTGCTGGGCTGCCCCCTGGACTCCAGCCGGCCCTCATGGAGCCCCCAGGTGTACACCACTCCTGCCACTCCCATAACTACCTACCAGGTGGATTTCCTCATCTCCAGGTTGCAGATGAGAGAAGCATCTCCGTGAAGCCGAGAATGGTGGTGGTAGGAATGAGACAGGCTGTCCTGCCTCCCACTCCTTGCCCTCACTTTTCCTTTCTTTCCCTGTTAAGCATTACCTGCCTCTGAAGCTGCCTCCTCTTTTCTTCATTCTGCTCGTCCCGGGCTTGGAGATCTCTCTCAAACTGGCCCTTGAGTGCTTGCATGTTGACCTCTAGCCGCAGCTTGGCATCTTCTGTTGCCTGCAGCTCATCCTCCAGCTCCTCCAGCTGGGTCTTCATCTCCTCCATCTGGGTCTCCAGTGCACGCTTGGACTTCTCCAGCTCATGGACCTGCAGGTAGAGTGGCAGCACCTTTTACTTAAGGGCTGACTCCACTGAGACAATCAAGTGATCCCGCCAGTGAGAGAGAGCTCATTCAGGTCAGTGGGTGGCTTTGCCTGTACATAGGATGCCTGGCCCCTGGGAAGGAAGCCCGGGGCCTTCCCCTCACTGCCCTCAACTCACACCCTCTCCCCGACTGCTGTTCCAAACCACTCCTTACATTTGCACTGGCCTGATTTCAACCCCTGATTATGGCTTCATATCAGAGAGGGTGGACAAACAAAGACAATGAAGAGTGACTTACATTCTTGCCCACATCATCCTTGGAGCTAACGAGATCTTCCATCTCGGCTTTAAGCATCTTGTTGGTCCTCTCGAGTTCCTCTTTGGCTTCCAAGGCCTCTTCAAGAGCCCGAGCCAGAGACAAGGCCTTGGTTTCCTTTTCCCTGGCTTCTGCTTCAGCTCTGTCCCTTTCATCCGCGTATTTGGAAGAGATGTTTTTCTCCTCAGCTAACAACTACAAAACAGCACAAAACCCAATGGTGTGAGTACTTGGGCTGGGCACATCCAAGACTGAGCTTCATTCAATGGGGAAGAGGCCTTATGTGCTACTCAGTTTATCCAGATGAAGGAAAGTAATTGAGTTACTGTCTGTGGAAGTTATTTATAATCATCTTGCTTTCTGACTCCTAGATCAGTTTTACGTGGAGCCAGAATCAGCTCTGCAACCACTAAAGCTGCCCATGTTGGTTAGGTCATGGTCAAAGGTAAAAGAGGCCAAAGTGATGTTTAATCCTGCCAGAGACCAATTAACCCCTTTGTTGATTCATGGCCACAGGCGGCTTCCTAAAGATGCCCTATCAGCCATAATAGGAAGATGGTGAGTGTGTGGATGGAAATGCACCCACCTATCCCTGTGCTTGGAGAAGCAACCCAAAGAACACACCATCCTGGAATTAATCTCATCTTCAAAAAGAGCAATACATTATATACCATACCATCCAAAGACCAGACTTCCAGAATTCTGCCAGGAAAGGGGGCCACAGAGGCCTCCAAATACCACAGTGAACACAAAAACCTTACACTCTATGTGACAAGAAGCAATCTTAGGCCCTCAGCCAGATAATGAAGCAGCAGACTAGAAGCAATGAGGACAAGCTGACATGAGAAGGGATGGCTGATGGGAAATGGAAGAATCAGGAGCAACATAGAGAAGCCCTGCACACCAAGGCCATCTGGTGCAGGGCAGTGAGCCTCAGGGTACAATCCAGAAATGGATTTTCAGAATGACATTAAATCACTTGTAAACTAAATATTTATTGGATAATGGGTAAATTTTATTAAAAGTCGATACTTAAGGGTTTGGATCACGGAAGTGTAAATCAGAACATTTAAGGTTTTTGCATTTCACTGTGTAAATTTTACCTCAAAAGAAGCAAAGTTATATAAAAAAGTAAAGAACTCTATCTAGTTCATGATACGCAATGCTGAAGAATTGAGAAAATGTACAGATTTTTGTAATTTGCTTTGAAATTCATCCTAAAGATAATATATGGTTGATAGATATGATTCATATCCTTACGAATAACAATGTAAAAGAGGAGATACAGTAAAATGTTAATAACTGAATTCAAGTAGTAGATACACAGGTGGGTATTCACTGTACAATTCTTCCAGCTTTGCTTTGTGCTAGAAATTTTTCATAATTAAATGATGAGGGAAAGTTGGTATTTAAAGAGTATAAGACTTTGAAGTGTAGTACTCAATAAGCATGCAAATAAATACTTGTTGAGTGAATAAAATATATGGACCTCATTCCTTGTAGGGCTAGAAGCTGTGTTTGCAAAATGTCCTGGTGGTGGTACTTGGAAAAGTACAGAGTTCTCAAAGTTCCTCTGCTGGCATCACTCTGATCTAGTAGCCCTAACGTTTCATGGTCACAGAAAACAAGATGGCCTTCCATAGTAACCACCAAAGCAGAGAATGGGATAGACATGCACACACACCAGCCACAACTTAAGTTAGGCCCACTCAAACCTGATCTCTCAGCCAGTGTCCATGAACAAAGTAGAGGGCACTCCCACCCCTACCTGATCAAACTTCTTCTGTTTCTTTTCCAGGTTGGACACCAGTTGCCGCTGGTTGTCCAAATCAACAACCAGGTCATCCAGCTCCTGCTGAAGCCTGTTCTTGGTCTTTTCCAGTTTGTCATAGGCGGCTGCCTTCTCTTCATACTGCTGGGTGAGGCCTTCAATTTCCTTCTGGAGTCTCTTCTTGCCCTCTTCCATTGTTTCCACAGTGCTGGCAAAGTCCTGCAGCTTCTTCTTTGAATCGGAGAGCTGAAATGGCAATGGCCAGGGTGGGGTGAAAGGAAGGCCATGAGTGATCCCTGTCCTTGCCCCTCAAATCCTAAGAAGTGAGAACTACTTTCTCCTCATTGAAAAAAACCCAGTAGTAAGAGGAGCCACAGCAAGCCAAGCAAAATGGTGTCAATCTTCTACTATAAAACATCAGAATACAACTTTCACTTGAGAACTCAACACCCAGAAAAAATATGGGAGGACCATGTCAGAAGCAAGGATGTGTAGCCAGCACCTGTATATTCAGAGTTGATACGTGACGTTCCAGGGTCTGCTTGGCCTCCATCTCCTCATCCAGCTGGTCCTGTAGGCTGTTCCTCTCATCCTCCAGTTGGCGGAGCTTGGTGGACACATTGAGCTTCTGCCGGGTTTCTTCTTGAAGCAGCTCCTATGAAAAGGACACATGGAGGTTCCAGGGACCTAACCCCAGGAAGGTCATACCCCAGGTACCCCTGGATGACATGGCAGGATACTCACCTGGGTATCCTGGAGCTGGGATCCAAGGGATGCCACATCCTTGGTCAATTTGATGGCTTTCCCCTCTGCTTCATTGAGCATGATGGTGACACTCTCTACTTCATTCTGAGGGTACCAAACAGTGCAGTTTGTTGGAGCCTCTGGAACAGGACCCCTATCCTTATTAAGTATGAGGAGCCCTTTTACTCAAAATATATCGCACAGCTTCATAAGAGAGAACTTGTGGTACCCACTGATTGAGAAAATACCTATGGAGGTATTAAACTCTGACAGTAACTCTTTGGTCCCCAAGGAAGTCCAAGGCCTACAAGTTGGGATCTCTGGCTCTGGACCCTCAGGTTCTAAGAACTTGTCAGGACTCTAAACTATTGACTGGACCTGATCCCCCTAAATGGATTCTGGATGAAGACAAAGGTTGGGAAGATGAAGTATCAGATCTGAGAGTCCAGACCCTGAGAGATGCTGTGGACTGGCACACTCCCTAGCATAAAAATGGAGAGGGGCATGCAGAAGGGCACCTGAACTTCTGGGACCCTGTCCCACCCCCACTGCTCCTCTTCCTCACCTCTAGTCTCTGTTCTTTTACTGATCTTTAATAGCTAAAACCAAAGACACACAACATAAAAAGCCCTCTACGGCAGTCTCTGCCTTTTACTCCAGCACTTGATGTCTCTGAGCAGATCCTCTGGAGATACCAGCCCACCACATCCTATTTCTATGTACAATAAAGATATAAATGAGCTTGGCTCTGGTCCTGTAGGACATCACTTTTATTAGGATAGCAAAACCACTGTTCCCAGGGCTATGTGGGAAAATCATACACATGCTCCAACCCACATTACAGAAATATTTATCAAAAGTTCAAGTATATCCCGTGAATGGCAAGCCAGACCAAATGTCTGTCTGAAGCTAAATCACACCAAAGATAAACACATCATGTCACTCCTCGATGTAAAATCCATCAGTGGTTTCCCATCGCTCAAAGACCAACCTCTGTATGATAATAGGGCTTCAAAGGCCCTGCACCATCTGGCCCCAACCTTCCTCTGTAGTCCCATTTTGTACCCTTGGCACTCCAGCAGAGTAGCCTTATTTGATCTCTTCTAATGTCCCACCTAAGGAGTTGTGGTAGTGTAGTGGGTTAGGCATTTGGCTGCTAACCAGAAAGTCAGTGCCTACCACTGGGCCTTTGCATATGCCATTCCCTTAGACTTCTATTACCTGTCAGATACATGTCTTCCTTAGGAAGACTTCCCTGACTCCTCCCCTTCCCAGGCTAGGACCTCATGTTATTTATACTTACTATACTATGTCTTATAATCTTAGATGGATTTGTGTAAATAGAATGGTCCTCATCTTCCTCTATCCTGTCCCTCCTCCCCCCCCACACACATACCTTAGGCTGGAATTCAACTGTTTCTTCCTTGCTGTTCTATCTCAGGATGGAGCACAGTGCCTAGCAAATAGCAGGTGCTCAAGAAATATTTACCGATGAAGATTTTTTAAAGATCGAAATGGGTAGTGTAACCATCTCCTCGAGGAATGTAGCTAGAGGAAACCAACTGGCTTTGCAGCAAAAGACACTTCAGATAGCTGGAAAGAACTGCATCCCCACTGAGGTGGGCACCGCATGGCCTCCTCACCTGCAGCTTGTGGACCTTGTCGTTGAGCTCGGCACGGGCCCGCTCCCCATCGCTGTACTTGGACTGCAATTCCTGCAGCTGCACCTCCAGCTTCTTCTTCTTGTGCTCCACCTCCTGCTTTGCCTGGTTCAGGACCCGCAGCTCACTGGACAGCTCTGCATTCTCCTTCTCCAGGGTCTGCTTGTTCTTGTCTAGGTTCGCCTTGGCCTGGCCATACAAGAAGAGGGGAGGGAGGGAGTTTTAAGTTAGCAACCTGTGTCGCTGTGCATCCTTCTTGTTTCTTTTCCCTCCTTTCGGGGAGGTCCAGGGACATAGGCTCTTCACCAGGGACATGGTAGAGTGGAGAACAGACTGACCAGTAAAACTTTTTGGATTTTGTTTTCCCAAAGCTCACAGATTGCAAACTGGCATCCCACAAGCTGCCTTCCTCGTGTCCTGTTTGGCCCATTCAGTACTTTTCTTTTCCCCATGTTTTTAATTAGTTGCCAATATTTTAATAAATTTAACATAAAAATCTGGATTCCCAGCTTACCTTTAAAAAATAAATCTCATGTTCTGTATCATGACTGGGGGTGGCTACATAAGTGTGTACATATGTCAAATTCCATTGAACTGTATACACTTAAAATTTTACTGTACCATATTTTTTCTTCCCATGAATAACACACATACACATAATGGGCAGAAATGACAAAATAATGTTAAAAAGTCTGGCATTTCCAGAAGTGAATTTCCGCCTCATTAAATAGTCCAAAATGTTACTTTAAATTGTACTTTGAAAGATATAAACCATGGTCAAGAGGTCATGGATTGAGTTTGGTAGTACCCTAGTAAATCAAAAAATAAACCGTTGAAACTACGTGTTTGCTCTGCTGCAATTTGCAGCCAGGCCTGAGAGTGGTGCACTTCCTTGTAGCCAATCTGCTCCCAGGTAAACTGTGCTGGCCATGGGCAGAGGGCTACACATGGGGTTCCAACAGCCTGAGCACAGGCTGGTCCCACAGTAGGCGGGGGCTGTTCCCCATGCAACCATGGGTCCTGAAGTACAGGCCCCACGTGAAGCCAGGCAGCAGGATAGTGTAGGTGCAGGTGCATACCGCCCTGGCTCCACAGGGGACCTGGGCAGCCAGTCAGCTCCATCTCATCCAAGTGAAGGAGGTGTGACCCCTCTGTGCCTGTGGCTCTCACACCCACCTCAGAGCATCTATGCAGGCAGAAGATTCAAATGGCACAAGCACAGTGACCAGCCAGCCAGGTGGCAGGGCACATGGCTGTGGCACACCAGCCTTGCCTGCCTGAATGGCCTCTCCAGCCTGGGGTGTGCAGACCAACATGCTTCCTGGGCTGGGGCAGGCCTACCCTGGTGATTTCGTCCTGCGTTACAGAAAGCAGTTTGCAGAGCAGGGAAAGAATCCCACTGGGAAAGAAGCAGCTTTAGAAACTCAAGCATAGGCTGATGAGGGTCTGATGCTGGGAACCAACCCTCTGCATCAACAGGCACCAAGATGAAGACTTAACATTAAATCCATTGGACAGAAAAAGAAAATTGAAGTCAGTGACATGTAAAAAGATAATGGTGTAGTGCACTTACGAAAATAATGCACAGGGAGTTGTGTGGTATGTAAAAACTTGTAATGCACATTAGTTCTGTAAAATACGCTATATACCTCAATAATTCTGACTTTACAAAAACAAACTAAGGATCTGGAAACAAGTCTTGACTTCCTGCAAAGCACAGTCAGTGGATCTAAGTAGTAGCTGGCCCTATAGATGGATCAGTCATTCTCTAGTTGGCCCTAGTCCCCACCACTCCCTATTGTCCTTTACATTTATCATCAAACTTAACACTGCTATTTCTGGGACAGATAGGAGAAAGTTAGGTTATCTGTGCAGTTTCTGTAGGCATGTGAGTTTCCTGAGGAGGGAGAGGTTGAGAAAAAGCCCAAGAGAGGAGGGGACTTCTCCCAGGGCCACAACCAGGAGCAAAGGAGAGAAGTGTGTGGGTCCCAAGGACACAGGAAACATTTGTCTTTCCCACATGTACTGGAAATATGCTGTGCAGTGTCCAGGCAGCCTCAGAAGATACTTCTTCTGCCCCTGGTAGGACCAAAAGCTACCAAACCTCACATAGAAACAAGACACCTCCTGGGATACCAGTGCAGGTTGATAAGCAAGGGGCTTAAGGGGCTTGGGCTTGCCTAAGACCCCAGAACTATGGTAAAGCTGCAGGTGTGTAAGGGGAGCCCAGGTCGGCCTGACTTGATGAGTTCCCCACAACAACCTGATAGAACCGGGGTTCCCACGTAGAACCAAAATGGTCTGGTAAAGTGTAAAGTGCAGACCATTCTCTCTTAGTGCACCTGAAGAGCTGGGCTGAGATACAGCCTACACCTGTATTCGTGAAGGCCAGGAATGAATGCTGCCTGCTGGCGGCATGAACAGCTGAGTATCTCCAGGGAGGCCTGCCTGCCAGTCCAGCTTGGGTCCCAGCCTCTGCTCACCTCCAAGGATCACCTGGCCTCAGGATGTCAGCTCTCCGTTCTGGGACCCCACTCTCCCAATTGTAAAATTAAAAGGGATATATACCCCTCATTATTGCCTTGAAGGTTATTTCAGAAGGTATATGAAAAACAAAACGAAAGAAAACTTAAGTTATTAAATAGTTTTTAATATAACTTCTGAAATACAAAAGCAAAGACAATTGAAGGGGGAGATGTATATTATACATTATACATTAGCATTTGAAGGGGCCAGTCCCTAAAGAAGGACATAATGCTTGGTAAAGTATAGGGTCAGTGAAAAAGAAGACCTTCAATTAGGATTGACACGGTGGCTGCAACAGTGGGCTCCAACAGCAACCATAGTGAGGATAGCACGGGACTGGGCAACGTTTCATTCTGTGCATAGAATCGCTGTGAATTTGAACTGACTTGATAGGACCTATACCAACATACCTAGCAAAATCTTATTTGTCCAAACTATTTAGAGAATTGACACAATAGAGAGGTTTAGTACTCAGATTTCACCTAATGATGGACATGAGCAAGCATCCATTCATTCATTTGGAGAGCAGGGGTGAGTTCAGGCTTGTTAGTGCTCTTTAAAGTGTGCTACTGAGACAGCCTCCATCAGGACTGAGGAAATCTGCATTTCCTTGCAGGCTTGGAAATCTGCATTTTTAATAAGTGTCACAGGTGACATTAAATTAGTCTACTTCCGTTAGTGATACCACCTCGGAAACCCAAGGAGGAGTCACTATGAGTCAGGTTCGATGCAACGGCAATGAGTTTGGAACACTACCTGGCACATACTAAATGCTTCATAAGGTATTGTGAGATTATTTTGAGATTCCAATAGAACAAGTAATGAAAAAGCTCTGAAAACTGCTCAGTAAAACACCTCATAGAAGAACGTTGAGCTTGACTAGTGAGAGATGAAGAGATGTAGGCTCCAGCAAAGTTTAGGTAATGCTGTACACATTTAATCTAGCCAAATCAAAATACCATTCTGATGGAGACGTGGGGAAAGGGTTACACCTATACACTGAGGAAGGAGCTGGCATGGCACAAGTGGCAGTTGGCTGCCAACCTAAAAAGTTGGTGATTCAAACCTGCTCTGTGCCAGAAAGGGCCTGGTGAACTGCTTCCATAAAGATTACAGCCAAGAAAACCCTGCGGGGTAGTTCTACTCTATACCACATGGGGTCGCTATGCCAACTTGACAGCAGCTAACAAAAACATCCCTACTATAAAATGAGGATGGTATAAATTCATTCAGACTTCAGGGAAGCAATTCAGCAAGATGTTCCAAGCTAAAAAAAAAAAAAAAAAAAAAAAAAAACCCAAACTCTCTGCCATTGAGTCAATTCCAATTCAGAGCGACCCTGTAGGACAGACTAGAACTGCCTCGTAGGGTTTCCAAAGCTGTAAATCTTTACAGAAGCAGACTGCCATATCTTTCTACCAGGGAGCAGCTGATGGATTTAGACCACTGGTCTTGTGGTTAGCAGGTAAGTGGGTTAACCACTGTGCCACCAGGGAATGAAGCACAGGAAATAGTCCAATAGGAGAGAAAAGTACCTAATATAAAACTTCAGAGTAGTGCTGCATAGTGTCCCCAATCCCACACAGCCTAAAAGCCCAACAACAGGAAAGAAGGATCCAGTGGTTTGCAAACCATGCCAGAGAGAGTTGTTCTGCTCCTAAAATAATATAAACAGAGTTTTCCTTCAATGTGCAGAGAAGTGAAGAAGCTCTGGTGGCGTAGTGCCTAAGGCATTTGCCTGCTAACCAGAAGGTTGGTGGTTCAAATTCACCAGCCACTCCACAGAAGGAAAATGGGGCAATCTACTTCCTGAAAGATTTTCCACCTTGGAAACCTAATGGGGGTTGCTGTAAGTCAAAACTGACTTGATAGCAGTAGGTTTGGTTTTTTCGGTTTGCAGAGAAAATAAGATGGATAGAATGTTCCCAATTTTAAGTTATCCTGCAGAACTTGTTTATCTATGAGGGGCAGTGTATTGTGGACCTTAATCTGTAGCTTAAGGAAGAAGTGCAGCCGGAATCTTCTTGGAAGTGAGAATGGCTAGACTTCATCTCACCTACTATGGTCATGTTGTCAGAAGGGACCATTCCCTAGAGAAGGATGTCATGCTCGGTAAAGTGGAGAGTGAACAAAAAAGGGGAAGGCCCTCAACAAGGTGTACTGACACAGTGGCTGCAACGATAGGTTCAGGTATAGCAAGGAGTGTGAGGTTGGCAAAGGTCCAGGCAGTGTTTCTTTCTGTTATACATAGGGTCACTATGAGTCAGAGCCAATTCAACGGCACCTAACAACAACAATCTGTAGATGGTAAGGTTCTTCTTAGGTTCCATCATGGCTCTGCCACTTACAAGCTAGGTAATCTTGGATAAGCCTCTTCACCTCTAGGCACTTGACCTCCATTTCTTCATGGGTTTAATAGTACCCATCTCACACAGTGGTTGTGAAGATTAATTAACATAATGTATTGTAAGCATTATTGTGTGTTGCTAATGTTATTCATCTTACTACAGACCCTTGTCAGTTGCCATCAAGTCAACTCATGGTAACCCCATCTGTGCAGAATAGAACTGCCTCCAGAGATTTTCAAGGCCTGTCTTTCCAGCTGCCTCAGAGTGGGTTCCACCTGCCAACCTTTCAGCTAGTGGTTGACAGCGTAGCCATTTGTGCCACCCAGGAGTTCATACTACAGACTCTGCTATGTAGTTATTTGAAGCTTATGGTCTATTGCTCTTCAATGTGTGGTCACAAACAGGCACCAGGACTTACCCTCTTGAACTGCTCAAGCTGTTCGGTGAGTTCCTCCACCATCTGTGTGTGTTTCTGCCTCATCTCCTGGACCTGAGCCTCGTGGGACCGCGTCTCCTCGTCCAGAGCCTTTTTCAGCACAGTCACCTCCTGCTCCCTCTTGGCCCTTGACAGGGAGAGTGCGGAGGAAGCAGTTGGGTGGAGACAGAGGTGTGCAAAGACAGTGCTGAGCTCTACCAGGAACCCAAGCTGAAGTCCCCACCACTGCCCTCACATGCTGTGTGACCTTAGGTGAGTCACCTAGCCTTTCTGGAAATCACATATCCTCAGCTGCAAATCAGGGACCATTTTACTTGCCCAGCATATCTCACAGATCCATCCACAAAATTATATTGTTGAGTGAACTTCTGTGAACTGCAAAAAGATTCCTCATATATTAACTACTATTTATAGAGCACTTACTATGTGCCATGGAGTCCCGGATGATGCAAATGATTAAGCACTCAACTACTAACCAAAAGGTTAGCAGTTCAAATCTGCCCTGACACTCCTTGAAAAAAAAAAACCTTGGTGATCATCTTCTGAAAAATCAGCCACTGAAAACCCTGTGGAGCACAATTCTATTTTGAAACGTTGGGTCACCATAAGTAGGAATAAGCCCAATGGCATCTGGTTTAGTTTGGGTTGTTTTTAGTTTACTACGGGTCAGGCCCTGAACTAAATTACTTATATACATTGTCTCTGATAATCTTCACAGCAAATTAAGAGGGAGGTATATTATTATTTCTGTTCTACAGATGAGGAAACAAAAGACTAGAGACAGTGAGTGGTTTGCCCTGGTGTTACCACTATATGACTGAGCCAGAATTTGAACTCAAACAGTCTGGCCCCAAGCCTGTGCTTTTACCCACTGCACTGGGCTTTTCTGTATCATTAGGCAGATGGCAAAGGAGCAGAATACGGTGCTGGCCTCGAGGCACAAAACGCACAGCATGGGAGATGAATCAGGGTATACACTGTTAGCATGCACCTGACACAGAGATGGACTCAAACTACATTCATACACAGTAAAATCTGTGAAGGCTGGAACCTGTGTAAGGTGGAAACCTGTCAG